TAAACTAAATAACAATTATGGTTAAATTAAAGAGCAGATATTGTTAAACTAAATAACAATTATGGTTAAATTAAAGAGCAGATATTGTTAAACTAAATAACAATTATGGTTAAATTAAAGAGCAGATATTGTTAAACTAAATAACAATTATGGTTAAATTAAAGAGCAGATACTTTAAACTAAAAGAGAATGCAGTGTAACAATAATGAACAGATACTGTTAAACTAATCAAAAGACACGTTAAACAGCAGATACTGTTAAAATAAAGAACAGATACTGTAAAACTAAATAAACTAATGAATAAGTACTGTTATAGTGAAGAGAAAACAATGTAAAGTTAGCAAGCAGATAGTTAAACCAATGACCTAATGAACAGACGCAGTTAAAATAATGAGCAGAGAGAAGACACTGTTCAATTAAACAGTAGGTGATGTTAAACTAATGAACCGACACTCTTAAACCAACGAAGCGGCATTATTAAACGATTAATAATACATTATTTAACTAACGAGCAGACTTTCATAAATATGTCAACCGATTATTTTCATCCGGGAACTCTAGTGACGTGTTAAAGAAGCTATGGCGTAGAAGGATGAAGAATCTATCGCCGTTATGAAATGAATTATTGGCTGTTGCTACATTAAGAACATTGCAAAGCAGTATAACATACAGCATGTGCACATCAAGCTTGCTTCGATTGTTTACCAACACCACTGTGTGGCTAGATTTCTCGCAAGAAAAGTGTGAACAACTTCAGGTATACATTTCTTTATTCAGAAAAGTTACACAAAGGGAGATATAATTACATAAGAATAAATAAATATAAGCAACTTTAACAAATTAGTTTTCTTCTGAATGACGTGGCATTACTTCTCACCCGAAAATCTATCCCAACTGTTGAAATGAAAGCACCAGAAAGAAAGGCGCCATCTTTATAGCGGACTAAAACACACGTCTTCCCAACTCCGGAGTCCCCAACCAGCATCACCTGCGAAATAGAGCCGTTTTAAAGCTTCCGCACGTAATATAAAGAATATTACACTGATTCACGTAAGGGAGTACGTTGCTAGCTAGTACCACCAGTTTCGTTAACCTAAATAATACCATACTGTTCACTGATTCACGTAAGGAAGTACGTTAACTTTACTTATAAGCTTTGAGGGTTAACACGACAAAAGTGTTAAAAAGTACAGAAATAAACGAGGAAATATCACCAATGATTCTCCTTAACTCACAAAAACAACACAATTAATGGGATTATGAATGACATCGGCTCTTGTAAAAAATACGCAACCATCGTATCACTACACACGTCTCGTACAGTGACGTCATACGTATTGTCTAAGGTGTTTGTATGTAGGCACGAGTTTCGTATTATAGAAAAAAAATATTTCACTACAATCGACTTTATCGGTTACTTTAACTGCAACTAGTAACGAATGTTATAAATATTTGTAAAGATAACATGCCTCATAAGTGTATTATTCGTTGGGTATATGGTGTCATATAGAAAACTTCACAAAGAAAAAAAATACTGTTTTTCATTTTTCTCGTTTTAAAATATTTCTATCGCATTCATCCGAAATATTATATTAATTTTATTTGTGTCGCAGGTGGTTGCAAGTTTGGGTTTTACGTAACAGTTAATTTTCATAGAAACCAAAAACAGTTGTTGGACAAAGAAGGTTATTTTTGTGTTGATATAATTCCTTGTATTCCGTGTTGGGCACTGTTCTAGATCATTGTACATATATAAATAAGATTAGAATATGGGTTAGGCTTGTCTCGTAATGGATATATATAGGTGGTGTAATACAAATATACCACTGTTTAGGGTTAGGATTCACATGTTGTTGATCAGCTAAGATAGGTATAAAGTGAGATTAGATCCTGTTTGATTAGAATATGGGTTAGGCTTGTCTCGTAATGGATATATATATATATATAGTAGGTGGTGTAATACAAATATACCACTGTTTAGGGTTAGGATTCACATGTTGTTGATCAGCT